GCATCGTACAGGGAAATGACGGACTCAACAAGCGGGCGAGCTCCATTCGCTCGTCGGCGAACAGAGTGTGATAGCCTGCGAGGATTTCCTCCAGGTTGAGGTCGCCACTGCGCACGGGAAGGGTGGTAAAATACAACACTGAGGTGAGATGGGTTGGGTGTTTGTGTGGCGTGAGTGAGTGCGGACAAAGAGGAGCGAAGCGGTCTAAACCTGTCGTCTTTGTCGAGAGCAGAGAAGACGAGGTCAACAAGCATCTTGTCAGCGGAGCCAGCGACAGTGGCCGCTCCGCTCTTCTTGAGCTCCTCGAGCAAGGCCTTGAATTCCTCTGCACATATGAGCACCCCGGGGAGTGGTGAGGAAACCAGAGAGGGCAGGCAAACAAGGAGAAGCCGAACCTTTGTTGACCTTGCCGTTGTGTTCAAGGTCGACTTTCTCAAAGAGGGCGATCACCTTTTCTATCTCCTGCACACTCTCAATTTCTACGCACCATGCATTAAACTCCCAGGGCAGAGGACAATGAAGAGGGAGGGAGGGGGGGGGGCGGTACCTGGGAATTGATGATGCAGAAGCACAGCAAGGCCTCTTCTTCTGACATTGCCCATTCCTTGCATGGTGGCTGTGTGTGAGGGTGTTTTGTTGTTGGGAGTGGGACCGGCTTGGGGACGTGGCTGGCAGAGGGGGGGGGGGCGCAGGCAGGCCGGAAGGGGTGGCGTTGAGTTTGCTTGAGGAAAGTAGTGAAGGAAGTGGAGTGGAGAGAACTACTCTCGGGTGACCGTGCCGTGGGCTTGTGATGACTCGAAAACGCATCGGTTTCCGTTTGCTTTTCCGCCCAGCAAACCCAGGCGAAAAGCCCACTTCACCTGATTGGTCATGACATCGGAATGTGCCACACATTCATGTGGTTTTGCCCCCTTATTGTCTGGTTTAGTAGGCGTTTTACAAAGGGGGGCAGCCAAGGTCTCGGACGGGAAGAATGATCGGAATGTGCCACCGTTTCGCTCTTTTTCTCCGAAGTCGCCCACAAAGTACAGAGGTGCTTTATCAGCTGTCTTTTTGTTTTCATCCATGAGCGCCCAACACACCTACATGACTTTCCCCTGTCGACACCAGTGCTGCACACACCTGGTGAACGGCCAGCGCCACAGGTACAAGACAGCACCAGCACGGGATGAGCACGAGCGCACCACCTACCACCACGCCTGCAAGGAAAGTGAGTGTGTGGTGTGCTTGTTGTGGGCAGATCAGCTCATCACACCAAGGAGGAAAGGAATGGGGAATATAC